TAGCAGATGACGAAGAAGCCATTCTCATAGCTGTGAATGAACTTCCCGATCAATATGAAGACATGCCAGCCCTAGTACCCAACACAGAAGACGACAAAGAAGACAAATCAGAAGGAGATCTTGTCACCGCATATCTTCAAGAAGAAACTATAACGACATCCGAACCAGAGAAAGAAGAACCCCTGAATCAACCCATTCAGATTGATTCAGATATAGCAATCAGAGCCAAGACATCTATATCACAAAGTCTTGCACATAAAGAAGAGCCAAAAGAAGAAAGAACTTTTGAAGATTTAGTCCCAAAAGAATACCACCGGTTTAGATCAGTATTCGAGAAGAAAGCATCAGAACGCTTTCCCGAATCAAGACCATGGGATCACAGAATCGATCTCAAACCAGACTTTGTACCAAAGAGATCGAAACTCTACCCATTAGGACAGAAAGAAGAAGAAGAAATGAACAAGTTCATTGATGAAAACCTAAAGAAAGGTTTTATCAAACCATCAAATTCACCTCAGGCTTCACCCTTCTTTTTCGTATCAAAGAAAGACAGCAAAGTGCTGAGACCCTGTCAAGACTATCGTTATCTGAACGATTACACAGTCAAGAACACATATCCCCTCCCATCTATCAACGATCTCCTAAACAAACTTCAAGGAGCCACAATCTTTACAAAGTTAGATATCCAATGGGGATATAACAATGTCCGAATTAAACAAGGCGATGAATGGAAAGGTGCCTTCATCACTAAAAGAGGACTATTTGAACCAACAGTAATGTTCTTTGGAATGACCAATTCACCCGGACATTCCAAGCCATGATGAATGACTATTTCACCGACATGATCGCCCAAGGATGGGTTTTGATCTATCTCAACGATATTCTCATATTCTCCAGAGACCCCAGACATCAACATGGACAAACTGAAAGAGTCCTAACAAGACTAGAAGAAAAGGATTTGTTCCTTAAACCAGAGAAGTGTGTTTTCAACGCAAAAGAAGTTGAATACCTAGGTTTCATCATAAGGCCAAATGAAATCTCCATGGACCCAACAAAGTTAGCCGGAATTCAAGATTGGATTCCACTGAAGAATGTAAAAGGTGTCAGATCATTTTTAGGATTCGGCAACTTCTACCGAAGATTTATTGGCAACTACACAGAAACTGCCAAACCCCTAAACGAACTCACTAAGAAAACAAAAGTTTTCGAATGGTCACAAGAGTGTCAAACAGCCTTTGATAACTTAAAGAAGAAGTTGCTAGAAAAACCCATCTTAATCATCCCTGATCCAACAAAACCATTCTATGTTGAATCAGATGCATCCAAATGGGCTACAGGAGCCATTCTCCAACAAAGAGATACAAACGGAGATTTGAAACCATGCGGTTACATCTCTCACAGTTTTACTCAAACAGAAAGGAACTACGACATATACGACAGAGAACTTCTAGGCATCATATGAGCCCTAGAAACATGGAGACACTTCCTAGAAGAAAGTCCACACCCCGTAACAGTATTTTCAGATCACAAGAATCTGACATACGTCCGAAAGACGCAGAAACTAAACCACCAACAAGCTAGATGGAGTTTATACCTATCAAGGTTTAATCTTCAACTCATTCACTTTCCTGGATCAAGAATGATCCAATCCGACACTCTATCCAGACAACCAGATCACGTCCCTGATAACGACGATGATAATGAAAACCTTGTCTTGCTCCCAGACAAGATATTCATTAATCTTATTAATGTCGAACTCGCAAAGATGATCAAGTCAACAACAGCCTCAGACGAATTAGTAAAGAACATATTGAATGTTCTTTCTACAAAAGGAATCCCACCGATTAAGTCAAGCCTTTCCAATTGGAAAATAGAAGATGGAAAACTTTTCTATCAAGATCAATGCTACATCCCTGATAACAACGGAATACGGAAACTCATTGTACAAGAGTTTCACGATTCACCAATGACCGGACACCCTGGAAGAGACAGCACATTAGAAATGGTGCAAAGACATTACTGGTGGCCAAGACTACGCCACTTCATATATGAATATGTTGCAGGATGTGCCATGTGTCAACAGAACAAAATTAACACACATCCAATGCAACCACTGACACATCCAACGCAACCACTGACACAGCCAATTAGATCCACGGTGACACGACCCTTTCAGATGATATCACAAGATTTTATAGCAGGATTACCAAAGACAAAACAAGGCTATGACCGCATAATGGTCATGGTAGACCATGGCCTTATGAAGGGGGTAATTTTCATCCCAACCAACAAAGAATTGACCACCCTAGAAGCTGCCAAACTTCATTTCAATCATACCTTCAAACGGTTTGGAATACCAGATGACATCATATCCAACTGAGATCCCCTTTTCATTTCAAAAACCTATTGAGGACTAATGAAACTTTATGGGATCAAACAACAAATCAGTACAGTGTATCACCCCAAAACAGATGGAGAAACAGAACGAGTTAATCAAGAACTTGAAACGTACCTCAGAATATTCTGCAAAAGAATTCCAGAAGAATGGGATAAAAACCTTTCTATTGCCGAATTCTCATACAACAGATGACCCCATTCTGTTACAAAACGAACCCCATTCTACCTCATGTTAGGATGTGAACCTACTGGAGTCCCAATAGCATTCTCAAGAACGAATGTCCCTGCAGTTGAAAGAAGATTATCAGAACTCTTAAAGATAAGAGACAACACTCAAGCCGCACATGAACTGGCACAACAAGCTCAAATTAAACAGTCTAAGAAAAACTCTCCTCCATTTAGCAAAGGAGACTTAGTATGGTTAGATGGGTGACACCTCAACAGAGGTCACAAGTTCCCAAAGATAGACTCATTACGCGAAGGACCCTTCAAAATCGAAGAAGTCATGGGGCCAGTAACATACAAACTTTGACTTCCACCCCAGTGGAAGATACACAATGTTTTCCATGGAAAACTTCTTACCCCATATCGCGAAACCGATGTTCATGGAAAGAACTTCCCTGAACCCCCTCCTGACCTTATCGAAGGAGAAGAAGAATATGAAGTAGATTCAATCAGAGATCACAGAAAACAAGGCAAAAAGTACCACTATCTAGTGGAATGGAAAGGATACTCCGACGAAAGGTGGGAACCAGAAAGCAATTTGAAGAATGCCTCCGAGATTCTCAAAGACTATAAGAAGAGAAAGAATCTCCAGTAAGGTCCTCAGACAATCATCTAAACTCGCAATCAAGCCAACCAGCTTTCTTTGCAACCAATGCTCCTCTTTAAACATGTACACCTCCATCTTCAACTCTGAATCTTTTCTCACTGCCACCCTCTTCATTGAATGCCTTGTTCAAGAAGAAAAACATGTCCACGCCCTCATTAACACCTGCCAGAATGACTCCACCCTCTCCCTCGATCTCCACCTTATTTTAAAAGCTGTTGCCACCGAGAAACATCTTGAGAGTAAACTTGGATACAAGGATGAAAACATCCTTAGTCTCCACACTATGGTAATCACTGCCATCACCGCCGCCATCTGACATGGCATCCTGAACACTATCAGAGATTGTAACAAGCTTCCCACTGTCCCTGACTACATCCCGAGCCATTTCGCAGGACAAGGGATTATACAGTATTTCAAAAAGTTTGATGCCAAGATACACGCTTATGGGAAGAAGTTCCCAACATCCCCTCGCATCACCACCCATCATCCTTACCGACGCACCCCACCCGCCGCTGCTCAAAGTGCAAGAGGCTTGGTCACATTCATAAGGATTGCAGCGATTACCAGTGCGGAGGATGCTTTTGGTGGGGACCAGGACATACTACCCCCAATTGCAAAACAAAGAAGTTGGCCTACAAGGCATGGAAAAGAGAAAAACGGATGAACGCTGCAGGATACGATGCAAAGATGGGAGCACAGATGTGGAAAGACAAAGTCTATAATTGAACAGGAGTACCAATTCTCACAAATGAAGATTGGAACACCCCCAGGAAGCAACCCGAGGTCATCGACTTGACCTCCCCTTCGCCACCTTCCTCACCAATACCATCTAACACCTGCTAGCAGACCCCCAAATCATTACATCAAGGTGAAGCCATTTATTTCTTGGCAGAAAGGCTAGCTCTGATGCTCTTGTCGGTGGTCACCAGTGACCTTCCAGTCAATTTCGGAAAAGGAAGTCTGAATCATGAGAACTTCAAGACTGAGCATCTGTGTAATGAATTTTGCAAGTACTACAGCCTGAAACCATTCCAAGAGAGCAAATCCAGAGTCCTAAAGGAAAAGAGGCTATTCATTGGCGCAATCTCTGAATCCAACTCCTGCCAGACAAGTCTATCACCCATCCAATCAAGAGGTTTACATAAAGGATTGCAAAGCTCAATGCACAGAACAAAGGAAATGGAGATTTCAGTTGAAGGGAAGGAGAATGCTAGACTAGAGTAGCATAATCTCATTATCAAAATCTATACTCAGCAAGTTCGTTTTCAATTCATATGAGTAGGCAGGTGTGATGCCTGAACGATATCGCGGGGACCACAGCGTGTGCAACACTGATGGCCACCAAACTCTTTCGGAGGGCTGAACCAAAAATGCAGCACCTATCAAGCAATGTAAAGCAGCAGGTGTCACAAGCAAGACTTTATCTGCTCAGAAGATTGGCAGGCAGCCACTCGCTCACTGGCATCCATGACAGCCACTTGCTTGCTGGCATCCACAACAGCCACTCACTCGCTGGCACTCAGATAAACCAAAGTGTTGAATGAGTTGAGCAGGATGCAGTTCATGGCCATTCGCAAGTGAGGCAAGCAGGACACAGTTGTGCCACTCCCTCGCATCTGAGGAGGTACATTCAACAATTTGGGTGTAGTGTGCGCCCAACGTGAAGAGTGTAAGGTGGGCATCAGCACCAAACCTACAATCATACTAACTATCTCAATGCCATCGAAAGAAAAAATATATGCCTATGGCAATGCAAGTACAAAACCAAGCCCTACCAAGATAGGTGATAACCTGCCGAAGTTTGTAGTGAAATGAACATGAATGCCCAAAACATTCTAGCATGCATTTCAGTGCATGTTCTGGGATATAAAGAGGAACAAAGACTTACACAGAGAAGCCAAGGAAGAACCATCGGAAAAAGATGATGCTTATTGAGACTACGACACCCGAGTAGAAAAAATCAACACCCAGAATTATTGTTCTCCTGAGTATTGTCGAAGCATATATTGCCAAGGTTGCATATGTGTCCCCAGCTGCAAAGACATAGTCAGTGAAAGAAAGGGTGTGCCTGTATTACATAGTACTCACACCCATGACAACTAAAGTACATAAAAAGGCGAACAGATGAAGAATACATTCTCTCGAAGGTGTCGTCACTACGAAGAAGTGTTAGCTTTCCTATTCCCAGAACACAAAAGGGAAAAAAGCATACATAATGATAGTGGCAGGTAGCTTCACAAAAGTGCCCACGATGGCAGACGAAAAGCAGGCACCAATCAGTGAAAACAAGCTGCTGGAAGGCGAAAACAACAGTGACCATGCCCTCGAGGTCACACAGTAAAACCAGAGTAACCAAGTGGCATGTGGCATACCATCCACCTCCCAGTAACTCACGAAAGCTACCCGCTCATTCACACTCGACCAAACCAGCAGGGACACAGAATGCAGAGAACTACATTCAACGACTGAGCAAATAAACTTGCATGTGGGATTGACAAGGAATACAGATAGTGAATGGTGTTTATTATGTTTGGATTGGAGGACACGTGTTGTTCATGGTGAGTGCAATGTGGCAGCTATTGATCATGAGGGTACTTGTGATGACCATCTTGGAAATTGGGAAGTATGGGGTGACATCATCTGAGACTGAAAGGCTTTGCATGCACATAGGGGCTCAGCCTAACTAAAGTGCCTAGCATGTAATGCATACACCAATCGGTTGGCAATGGGGTGAAGTGTATGAAATGAAACAATGCCAGCTGGTGTCACAGTCACAACATCCATGCGAAGCACATGATCACATTGAAAAGTGACATCATAACCTTCCCAAAACCTTCCACAATAACATCATCGTCTTCAACACAATATCCGGCTGTCATTTTACTTGTTCTTCTGTACACCATGTCTCACGCAACAACCCCAGGCTCTATCACATATTGAAAGAGGGCAAACAGTGTGATACGGACTAGACACAGATGCTCACAAGCATAGCAATGACTATGTGAATGAATCAATTTGATTATGAACTTCCTTCAGCTTGTCCACAATCGAGTAGTGGAAGTGGATTGTGTCTTAGCACTGGGATGCAAAAAGAGAGCTCAATTGAGAAAAGATTAAAACAGGAAACACAACTATAGTACACATTTAAAAGACACAAAGTCAAGTAATGTGTCAGCGAATGAGGCTAGAATACAAATATTAGTAGTAATAGTCGTGTGCCGATACAGGGTTTATGGGGTCCTGCCCAGGATTGTGGCAGCACAAGGCCGGATTAGGAAAAAAACAAACCTGTCCAGTCCAGCTTGCAATACAGAATGACTACATAGCTCAGATCCATGAGGAAAACCCCATTTTCTGATTTGTGGAAATAAATTTAGATCAGCTTTAATAAGTAGAGGGCAAGCTGATTTTGACCAACCTATTGGAATCAGTTCAAGTCAGTGATACTGTACAAATATGACCAACTCTTCATCAATTTGGATTTTTTTTCTCACCAAGATGTCCAAAAAATTTCCTTTTGATTTAAGGTGAATAAAAAAAAATACTTGTCCATCCCATGTGATGTGTGATGTGAAGACTTGGTCATATTAGTACAGTACATCAGCCCACAGTCAGAAGCCTCCTCACTTATTAGATACTTATTTGTGTTGATTATTCACTGATGCTTTGCACATTGTTGAGGAATCATACTCATCAGAACACTTTCTATAAGGATGTATACTGCTTAGTGCACTACCTTTGAAATGTGTGTTACCTGTGCAATACTTCAAGGATGTATAATTTAGCACACTACCTTAGATATGTGTGTTATCTGTGCACTACCCCAACCACTATGTTTTCGGCCTGGGCAGTAGATGTCTGATTGACACCATGTGGGAATGACTAAGCAGGCTGCAGACATCTGTCAAGGAACCATATTTAAGCAAATGACCACTACAATTATAGTCCATTGCTCTGAAAACAATTTAAATATATAGAAATAAAGAAAGGCTTGCTATATATCTCAATTTCATTGTGAAACAGGAACAGGAGTATATTTTAATTACTCTAACAAAACAAGTACCCAAAATGTGCTCAATCTTGAGAAACCAGTGGAACTCAGCAAGCCATGGTTTTTTTGGACACTTATTAAATGCTCATTCTTGACCATTATCCATTGATGCTTAGCACATCCAGCTACACATGGAGATCTGTGAGTAGTAATGTACAGGTGGGTATATACAAAGTTAGTAATAGTAGGGTGGTAATACTTGTGGTTTCAAATAGAGTTGATTTGTTAAGAAGTACTTACCAACATACAAAATGACAAACAAATGTAAATACAATGTAACTGTCATGCAAGAAGTAGGTAAGTGATGCTATGCTGCTACAACCCTATTATGCTGATGCAGGAGTTTTCAGCTGCAGCTGTGCAGCCTCTGCATATTTTCCTTGCTTTAAATATGTTGCTGCAAGATTATTTATGCTGGTTAATGTATTGGGATGTTCTGGCCCTAGTACTCTTTCACACAGATCCAGGACTTTCAGTTGCAGCTCCCCAGCCTCCTCATATTTTCCTTGCTTTGAATATGTCAATGCAAGATTATTCATACTACCCAAGGTATCTGGATGTTCTGGCCCCAGTACTCTGTTATGCAGATCCAGGGCTTTCAGCTGTAGCTCCCCAGCCTCCTCATATTTTCCTTGCTTTGAATATGTCAATGCAAGATTATTCATGCTGGTCAAGGTATCTGGATGTTCTGGCCCCAGTACTCTGTTGGACAGATCCAGGACTTTCAGCTGCAGCTCCCCAGCCTCCTCATATTTTCCTTGTCCCAAATATGTTAATGCAAGATTATTCATGCTACCCAAGGTATCTGGATGTTCAGGCCCTAGTACTCTTTTACGCAGATCCAGGACTTTTAGCTGCAGCTCCCCAGCCTCCTCATATTTTCCTTGCTTTGAATATGTCATTGCAAGATTATGCATGCTAGTCAAGGTATATGGATGTTCTGGTCTTTGATACAGATCCAGGACTTTCAGCTGCAGCTCCCCAGCCTCCTCATATTTTCCTTGCTTTGAATATGTTGATGCAACATGTGCCATGCTGACCAAGGTAGCTGGATGTTCTGGCCCCAGTACTCTGTTACGTAGATCCAGGACTTTCAGCTGCAGCTCCCCAGCCTCCTCATATTTTCCTTGATTTGAATATGTCAATGCAAGATTATTCATGCTAGCCAAGGTATTTGGATGTTCTGGCCCCAGTACTCTGTTACAAAGATCCAGGACTTTCAGCTGCAGCTCCCCAGCCTCCTCATATTTTCCTTGATATGAATATGTCATTGCAAGATCATTCATGCTGAGCAAGGTATCTGGATGTTCTGGCCCCAGTACTCTTTTAGACAGATTCAGGACTTTCAGCTGCAGCTCCCCAGCCTCCTCATATTTTCCTTGATTTGAATATGTCACTGCAAGATTATTCATGCCAGTCAAGGTATCTGGATGTTCTGGCCCCTGCTTCCTTATTCTCATTTTTACAATTTTATTTCGAAAATACTCTGCATCTTTCCACATTCCATTTTCATACAACACATAACTAAACTTAGAATATTCCTTATCATTGAAGACTCTTTCAAAACCATTTTCCTCTTGTGACTGGTCAATGGCTTTGATGTGTGGCTCAAGAAGCCTGTTGAATGCTATGTTTTCAGTTGTCATTTCCTCTGTGATACAGTTCACAAGGATCAATTTTGACACTTGCATCATGCACTTCTTTTGAGATATTGACATTCTATCTCTACTCCATTGATGCATCAATGGGTGAATGGCATAAGTTCCTGCAGAGGTTGAGTGCTGCTTGATTAAAGAAAAGGACATAAGAACCCTAACTCCTTCATGAAAGAAGAATTGATTCCAAGACTGATCTTCTTCAAGCTGAAGCAATTTATTCATACATGTTTCAACTTCTTCTTCTAGTCCACTATGCAGTCCTTTGGAGAACTCAACAGCAGCCTTTCTAAAGGCAGCCTCAATGATATTCTCATGATGTAGAAATGCAGCAGTTTCCAGAATAAGAAGAGCAGCCTGAGCAGCTGCTCTACCATGCCCATCAGATTTCCTATTTGACCTTGATTCAATTTCATTGAATGACAAATCCCATATTTCATAGACTGTACGATCATACTGAGATGCGCCCCTAAATGAAGGGTGGTTCATAAGCTTGTTCCTATGTCGAGAGAGATGCTCAAGGTAATTATCAATACTACAGAGACCGGCTTCAATGGAAGCACCTGCTTGATCAACAGCTAGAGGTAAGCAGCAGAGCTCATTTACAATTTGTTGAGCTGTGCCATAGACATGTTCAGAATGCCCAGTTAGATGGCTGGCTTTCAGCAAAAGTGATATGGCTTCCTTTCCAGCCATCTGATTAATCTCAAGTGAATTTTCATAGGATGTAACCCGCCCAAGAGATCGATTTCTGCTAGTAACCAGAATATTTCCCTGAGAACCAGATGGGATAAATTTTTCTACTACTTCAGGTGCACCATCAGCATTGTCAAACACAAGCAGCCATTCACTCTGCAGAGATCCAATCCAGAGAAGAGCAGACTGAGAGGACATAGAAATACCAGCAGCTTTAGCATCAGGATGAGAACAAAGACCCTTTAAACCAAGAGCAATAGTATCTTCAGAAGATGCATCAATCCAGAAAACATGAGAGAATCTAGATGTTCTTGTCAGAAGATCAGAAATATAGTATGTGAAAAGACTTACCTTTCAGCCATCTTTTCAACAAACTTCAGACAAATCTGTGTCTTGCCAATACCCCCCATGCCATACAACAAAAAAGACTTTCTGCTTCTATCTACTTGATCTTGCAGTGCAAAGTGATCCATCAGCCTCTTGAGAACAGCTTCACGGCCTGTGAATAAGGCACTTGAATTGGGTCTTTGTGGAACAAGGAGTGTATCATCTTGACCCCCAATGGCATGTTCGTGGACCTCAATCTTGTAAGTCTGATCAATATCTCAAACAATCAAAGATGTTGTCACAGTACACACATTTTGGGCCACATAGAGCGTCGTATCTCTCATGTTAATGTTGTGAGCTCCCTGCATTACATTCTGGGATTCCCAAAGACAAAGGATATGAGCCAAGGAATTTATTAAAGCATTATTAACACGCACTAGAGACGTTCCTCCCCCCGTAACCTCTGGCACCCTTGTAAATGTCGACCTAAATCTCGTCAGCATGCTATCTGCCAGCGTGGGAGTCATGGACTCCAACCTCGAACCGCTAGGGCGTGAGCCTTCGTAACGTGGGCGGCCTGCGCCCATGAGCCGGTCGAGCATTCCCTTGAACTTTCCTTTCAAACGATTTTCACGAGGGCGATTAGAATCAGACATCGTGGTTCAGAAGGGGGTTGTTGATGTTGTGCGGCGTCAATTTTCTGGATAGGTAATGGATGGTTTCACAGAGTCAGCTGACGTTCCTCGACGATGTTGACGCGCTTGGGTTGCTCAACGTTTGTTTTGGTCGTTCTCTTTTTCCACTTGAAGTCGCACATATAACCACCTCCAATGTTCCCCTCGCCGCCTGCCTCGTTTTTCTAATGCTCGGACTATTGATATTGTGCGCACATAGTCACCTCCGAAGTTCCCCAACCCACGTTCGGGCGTCTCCCTCATTCTTTCTTTCCGTTTTGCAACAAGGAGAATCGTTATCGTAGGATCGGGACCATAATTTGCATTGCGGGAATTCGCGGCTGACGCTTCACATGTATACATACATTGTCGGCCTGCGTTCAGCATGCGAGAAAGTTCAATGGCGCGTCTGGAGATGCCAAATGGAGTGTATAGACTTGGATCAGCTTGAATGCTTGGCTTACGGTGCGTACAGACATTGCATTTGCATCTATCACGGACAGCCCCCTTAGGCTCTTCCCTCAGGCCTAGGGCATCTGCAGAAGAACTCGACACACCGTCATCCACTTCCTCTCATCGGTTCTTGGACAGGATGACGGGAGAACCTACGCCCCTCCAAGAGGGCGTGGCCACTAATGGGGAGGGGTGTTGATTAACGTCGAGGATTACGAGGGAGTCGCGAGGTTGCTCAAGGACATAGGGAGTGCGGTGGATATGACAGTTCTCTAAATCCAAGGCCATGGATGACACCGATGCGTCTGCAGAGGACAGTGGTGCGCTCACTCCCAACTCAACTGTCAACAAGTTAATCTGAACCTAATGAGTCGCCCAACTGAGCGAATACTGGCCCCTCTCCAAACTATCTACCCTCTCGAACGAAGCGAGCTGACACTTCTGAACCCACCACCCATTCACGTCTTCTTGGAATTATCCGATCCTGCTGGGCTCTGAGTGAACACTCCTTCTTCCCCCCTCCTCACACACCACAGCCTCACTATCCAAGCAGACGTCGTGTTGGCGCACAAACTCGTCCCGCAGGGTGTGCTAGATCTCATACTCAGCAAGACAGAGCTTATCATCGCGAAGAAGTTCCTCGGGAATGCAGATGAAAGCCTGGAAGAAATGGTGCATTTCGCTGTGGAAGGCGCGCGGAAGGGGTTCGCGTATGTTCTTTCTCTCTGAGCATTTGCCTTGTTACAAACTTTCTCCCACTATATAGTCACAACAAGCCGACCTCTCTATATACGACCACTCCTCTGAAGAGACACTTTTCTTCCGTACGCAAGGGTTCGAGCCTTTCCTCATTTCATGTATCTCCTCCGCGTTGGCCAGGCCGACGTTCGTTGGTATCCCACTCACGCACGGGAGCGTGGGGGCAGGGTACAGATGCCGGAGTATGCGTTGGTTATTTTGATGGATGTTGCGAGGTTGCAGGGGGTTCTTGATGCACTTTTGGGCGTTTCTTCGTTAACTGGGCCCACTCCTACTTGTACGTCTAAGACATCCACCACCAAAACGACAACGACAGCAATCCCATACACCCAAGTCGCTATGTCCCAGACGTATTGCATCTAGCCTCCAAAACGACACTCCCTTTTTGAGGAGACAATGACTTCCTGGTGCTGACATGCTCGAGCAGTCTACTTGAACGGTAACTCTTTCGAGGAGTGGTCGTCCAGAGATCCCGGATCCAAGAAGTGTGGCTTGATTGGCACATGTTGGGCACCAAATCCTACGTTCTTCCATCTAGAATCCGAATTTCTACCCCCTTGGGTTCCGACCTGCGCGGGACTCCCAATTCAACCGCCTTCACTTCCAGATTGCGGTGCCAGTGTTCCAATTGCCCATGTGCTACGTGCTACCTGAGCTTTTGTGAACTTCGACGTTTTGTTCCAATTTTGTTCACGGTAACGGACGAAAGCCCAAACCACTCCTCCATCCTCTCGGCTCCCTCATGGCTCTATCCTTCCACTTGCTACCATAACTCATCTTGACCTTCTAATTCGGGTTTGGGACCACAATTCTTCCTTGTCTCCCGGCTACATCTCACCACTCCCTTCTCCATCCTCTTGGCCCTCTTTTCGTGGCACGTTTTTTGTACCGTTAATCGCCGTCCATCTTGGCCATCCATTTCGTCTTTGGCAGGATATTCTCTCCTCGCCTTTCCTTCATTCTGTCCCGACCTTTTCCATCGATCGAGATTTCACTTGATTCGGAGCTGCATCCCAATCTTAGCAATTGCTACCTTCAGCCCGCCAAGTTTGAGGTGTTGCTCACAGCAACGGACGGGAGCTCAAACCACACATCCTCCGTCTTGAGGTGTAAAACACTCGCAGTCCTCTCTCGTCCTGCATCGTTTCCGCACATCTCATCGTACCCTATCTCGACGATTGATGAGATTCATAGCGTTTGGCCGCTGGCAGTACTCCTAGATACTATCGGTTGAACGGATGAGAGCTCAAACCACACATCTTCCTCCTTCGTCCCCTTAGCTTTCTCCTCATGGCTCATTTCTTGCACCTGACACCTCATTCCGTCCGACGATTTGTGTTTCCCTGGACTTCCTAGATTTGCCCGAACCTGTTTAATCCCCAGTCTCGACATTTACCCAATCGCTCCATGTGTCCCATTCTGAAGCCCAAAGTTCCACACCCTTTTTCGCATCCAAATAGATGCTGCAGTGTGGCGTGCTGCGCGCTACCTTGAGGAACTTAGTTCCCCAGGCGAATGTTTCGTTCAACGTCACAGACAAGGGTACAACACACCCACCTCCCCCTCCTCCTCTTGGAACAATGGAAGGTGGTTTGCTGGACAAAGGCGACGATTTATATGGCTACGCTTACTACTCCATGACCGTAACAAGGCGGTATCCCAACAAGAAACCTATCCCTCTCCTATAAACGCGCGCCATTGACCTGTCGTACACCATCTCCGCCATTGGCCCGTCATACACCGTCTCCGCCATGCGACCGTCCAATACTAGTACTGCTACTACAGTACTATGGTTTGCCCGAGGTCCCCTTCGAACCACCGAGCTCACAATCAATCAGGTACTGCACCAAATAGTCTTCTGAGGTGCAGCCTGACGTGGATCACAAGTTGCGCCTCGACTGGGTCGTCCATCCACCCCATACCGCTACCTGGCTAACTAACCATTCTTCCTCAATCTCCCTCCAAAACTCCGTCTTCCCACTCGGACTCGCGCTTACCTCCGTCTGTGTCCGTGCCCTTCTTGTTCTCAAAGTCGGACGAAATGGGCGTACTTTGTGTGGAGTTCCATGTAGTACTGGTGGGCTGTGTAGTTTCATGCAATGCTTGCGGTGCTCACAATGTACATCGTTTGGGTTCGAGTTATATTGAGGTATAAACAAAAGAGATATTATATGAAGAAACCGTAAGCCAGGCGAGCGAGTCTCAGGTCTGAAGTGTGAGGAGGGGATAATGGGGGAGTAAGCATATATAAAGAGAGAGAGAGAGAGGGCGGCCAATTGCAGAAGGATGCATAATTAAAAGGAAGCTGCGGGAGGAAGCGGAAGGCGGACGTAAAAGTAGGTCGAGACCAATCGACTACCTGGCCAAACTCGCAAAGAATAATAACAAAACAAGGGAAAAAAAGGGAAAGAGGTGGTGGTGTAGGCTGTCAAAAAAACCATTGAACATTGAAAGAGAAAAAAGATATGGTATTCAAAGATGGGGATAGTAAACTAACACGGCTTGCTCGAATGAAAAATGGGGTGGGTAAGGGTGTGACCAAGGACGCAACAAGTTCGGTGGGTGGTGGTGATTCGTGTTTGATACAAAGAAGATGCAGGGGAGGGGGGTAGGTATCATTATAGCAGGGGTGTTGAGTTGGTAGTGGGTAAAAGCAATCGCCATGAGAAAAAGCAAGATGAGAGAGAGGGAGCCAAGACGGCGCGAACAGTTGAGTCTTTACAGCAGCCCACATTCCCTCAAATGGAGCTGAAGTAATATATCTTGAATCGCACTCAACACAACTATCATTCTCCATTAGACCCTCACTGTGTAAAGAAAGAAGGAAAGGGGGAGACGTACTATCCGTCGCACACGTATAATGCGCATAAATCTGCTTCGTCGCCGCGCTCTGGTTGAGGGAGACAAAGCGGTGCAAGAGGTAGTCGCATGCGGCGTCGTAGTTGTCCCCGCCTGTATAGTCTGGGAAGTAGTCGCCTAATGGTGAGCGCGGGAGTTTTTCGGCGAAGAGGTCGATTTTGTTTAAGAGAATCTATGGGGAGTGTTAGAGGGGGAGGGAAGGAGAGGGGGGACGTACGATCGATGTTTTGACGAACCATCGCGAGTTGCATATCGAGTCGAAGAGGGTGAGCGCTTCTTGCATACGGTTCTGTCAAAAAAAGTGGTTTGTGAGCGGTGAGAAGAGAAAGAAGAAGAGGGAAGAAGGAACAGACCACACTCTCATCCTCATACAACATCTGATCATACTCACTCAAACTAACCAAAAACACCAATGCCGTCACATTCTCAAAACAATGTATCCACTTCTTCCTCTCACTCCTCTGTCCACCCACATCAAACAACTTGTACGTCAATTCCCCCACTTTAAACGTCGTCTCCGTAATTCCCGTCATCTTCATAAGATATCCTGGTCGGTAGGGATGTAATTCGTAGCTGCCATACGGTCGATTGAGTTGAAGTAGTACACCGCTGAATCGTTCAGCTGGAACTCCCGGGAACGACGCACGGCTTCTTTGACGCCGGGGTCACGCCAGAGGGAGTGCACGGCGTCGACGACGTCTCGTGGGAGGACGTCTGCTTCGATTTGCATGGGGAGGGCCATGATGGTTGCGCGGCGGGCGTCGTTTTGCGGTGCGAGGGTTAGGTCGAGTTGTGGGATGGCTTCGAGGATTGCCCTTTGTGTCCGATGTTAGTTAGCCTACGCAGACACCTACAACGAGACGGGGGGAAACGGACCGCATTGACTAAATGGGGTTTGAGAAGATGATCTCCTTGTACGAGTCCCTTTCGGAATCTTTCTGATTTTCGAGAACTGAAGGGAGCACCATCAGTATCGGTAAGGGTAGAGCGAAAATGAAGCATGGAAAATGAACTCCATAAACAGATCACGAAGGTAATCCAATCAAAGCTGAGGGACGAAGAGTGAAGACCTGTGCCTCAAGAAACATGAACGGCAAAGGCTGGGCAGCAGCGGGGGATGGGAGAAACGGAGCATCAGGGACTCAGAGTGTGGGATGAATGTCAAGGTGAAGCACATGGCTATTGCACCTCGAAGTCAGAGAAATGCGAAGGACGGAAAGTAGAGTGGGGCACGAAATCGAGGAAAAGGAAACGAATGGACGGCATAACTGAAGAAAAGGTTCATAATGACCAAACATGAACCCCATCATGGGGGGCAACCAAAATCAAGACACCAAGTGACCGAGCCTTGAATGACAACAGCAAAAACATACCTGGAGTTGTTCGATCGTCATGCCTTCGTAGTTTTCCACTGTCTTGAAAAGGTCGTTGAGATTTGGCATTTCCTGTGAAACAAAGTGGGTCAGCATCGGCTGGGATGGTAGGACCGGAATGGGAGCAGTGAAAGTGGGGATGCGAGCAAGGGAGAAGGAGCTAGAGAAGGAATGTGGATGAAGGGAATGGCGGGATGTGGAAAAGAGAGAAGGGGGGAGGAGACGGCACAAAAAGTCAACCCCGAGTGGTTGAACGAGCCGAAGAACCAGGAAGGAAGGCAAAAAAATACCCACCTCTTCTTTGGGTAACGACTTATTGCTCAAGAAGGTCTTCTGCAGTCTGTGCCGCCAACCACGCACTTTGATCGATTGATTGTCTTCAGAGCCTTTAGCTGGAAAGAGAAGAAGAGAGGTCAGCTTCTGACATGGCGAGAAATTGAAAGGACAAGTGATTGGGGGGGGGGGGTGCGAAAAGGGTGATTGAAGATGGTAAAGCATGCGATAGAGGAAAAGGAGTGGTTAAAAGGGAACATCGTTAAAAAAGGCGGTGTCATTCAAAAACATAGAAAAGTGGTGCCCTGGAGTGACATTTGAAAGT